AGGGAGAGTCTAGCAGTATGCAGGTACCTCCCTTAAAGGGAGAGTCTAGCAGTATGCAGGTACCTCCCTTAAAGGGAGAGTCTAGCAGTATGCAGGTACCTCTCTTAAAGGGAGAGTCGAGCAGTATGCAGGTACCTCCCTTAAAGGGAGAGTATAGCAGTATGCAGGTACCTCTCTTAAAGGGAGAGTCTAGCAGTATGCAGGTACCTCCCTTAAAGGGAGAGTATAGCAGTATGCAGGTACCTCTCTTAAAGGGAGAGTCTAGCAGTATGCAGGTACCTCCCTTAAAGGGAGAGTATAGCAGTATGCAGGTACCTCTCTTAAAGGGAGAGTCTAGCAGTATGCAGGTACCTCCCTTAAAGGGAGAGTATAGCAGTATGCAGGTACCTCTCTTAAAGGGAGAGTCTAGCAGTATGAAGGTACCTCTCTTAAAGGGAGAGTCTAGCAGTATGAAGGTACCTCCCTTAAAGGGAGAGTCTAGCAGTATGAAGGTACCTCCCTTAAAGGGAGAGTATAGCAGTATGCAGGTACCTCTCTTAAAGGGAGAGTCTAGCAGTATGCAGGTACCTCCCTTAAAGGGAGAGTCTAGCAGTATGCAGGTACCTCCCTTAAAGGGAGAGTCTAGCAGTATGCAGGTACCTCCCTTAAAGGGAGAGTCTAGCAGTATGCAGGTACCTCCCTTAAAGGGAGAGTCTAGCAGTATGCAGGTACCTCCCTTAAAGGGAGAGTCTAGCAGTATGCAGGTACCTCCCTTAAAGGGAGAGTCTAGCAGTATGCAGGTACCTCCCTTAAAGGGAGAGTCTAGCAGTATGCAGGTACCTCCCTTAAAGGGAGAGTCTAGCAGTATGCAGGTACCTCCCTTAAAGGGAGAGTCTAGCAGTATGCAGGTACCTCCCTTAAAGGGAGAGTCTAGCAGTATGCAGGTACCTCCCTTAAAGGGAGAGTCTAGCAGTATGCAGGTACCTCCCTTAAAGGGAGAGTCTAGCAGTATGCAGGTACCTCCCTTAAAGGGAGAGTCTAGCAGTATGCAGGTACCTCCCTTAAAGGGAGAGTCTAGCAGTATGCAGGTACCTCCCTTAAAGGGAGAGTCTAGCAGTATGCAGGTACCTCCCTTAAAGGGAGAGTCTAGCAGTATGCAGGTACCTCCCTTAAAGGGAGAATCTAGCAGTATGCAGGTACCTCCCTTAAAGGGAGAGTCTAGCAGTATGCAGGTACCTCTCTTAAAGGGAGAGTCTATCAGTATGCAGGTACCTCTCTTAAAGGGAGAGTATAGCAGTATGCAGGTACCTCTCTAAAAGGGAGTCTAGCAGTATGCAGGTACCTCCCTTAAAGGGAGAGTCTAGCAGTATGCAGGTACCTCTCTTAAAGGGAGAGTCTAGCAGTATGCAGGTACCTCTCTTAAAGGGAGAGTCTAGCAGTATGCAGGTACCTCTCTTAAAGGGAGAGTCTAGCAGTATGCAGGTACCTCTCTTAAAGGGAGAGTATAGCAGTATGCAGGTACCTCTCTAAAAGGGAGTCTAGCAGTATGCAGGTACCTCCCTTAAAGGGAGAGTCTAGCAGTATGCAGGTACCTCACTTAAAGGGAGAGTCTAGCAGTATGCAGGTACCTCTCTTAAAGGGAGAGTCTAGCAGTATGCAGGTACCTCTCTTAAAGGGAGAGTCTAGCAGTATGCAGGTACATCTCTTAAAGGGAGAGTTTAGCAGTATGCAGGTACCTCCCTTAAAGGGAGAGTCTAGCAGTATGCAGGTACCTCTCTAAAAGGGAGAGTCTAGCAGTATGCAGGTACCTCTCTTAAAGGGAGAGTTTAGCAGTATGCAGGTACCTCTCTTAAAGGGAGAGTCTAGCAGTATGCAGGTACCTCTCTTAAAGGGAGACTCTAGCAGTATGCAGGTACATGTCTTAAAGGGAGAGTCTAGCAGTATCCAGGTACCTCTCTTAAAGGGAGAGTCTAGCAGTATGCAGGTACTTCTCTTAAAGGGAGAGTCTAGCAGTATGCAGGTACTTCTCTTAAAGGGAGAGTCTAGCAGTATGCAGGTACCTCTCTTAAAGGGAGAGTCTAGCAGTATGCAGGTACCTCTCTTAAAGGGAGAGTCTAGCAGTATGCAGGTACCTCTCTTAAAGGGAGAGTTTAGCAGTATGCAGGTACCTCTCTTAAAGGGAGAGTCTAGCAGTATGCAGGTACCTCTCTTAAAGGGAGAGTCTAGCAGTATGCAGGTACCTCTCTTAAAGGGAGAGTCTAGCAGTATGCAGGTACTTCTCTTAAAGGGAGAGTCTAGCAGTATGCAGGTACCTCTCTTAAAGGGAGAGTCTAGCAGTATGCAGGTACCTCTCTTAAAGGGAGAGTCTAGCAGTATGCAGGTACCTCTCTTAAAGGGAGAGTCTAGCAGTATGCAGGTACCTCTCTTAAAGGGAGAGTCTAGCAGTATGCAGGTACCTCTCTTAAAGGGAGAGTCTAGCAGTATGCAGGTACCTCTCTTAAATGGAGAGTCTAGCAGTATG